CCAGCAGCATCACCCTGCAAGCCAACCCCAGTAATTACCTGATGGCGCCTGAAGATGGCGCCGATTCAGACTTATTTCTTGCCTCTGATATTTAACCTGAACGTTCCAGCCTGTTTGGCACCCGCGTGTGCCAGACACGGCGGCCGTCAAACCCGTAACCCCTCTCTCGACAAGCCTGTTTGCGTATCGGCGCTACAGGCCCTGCTTCGGGTGGGGAGCAGTACTCTCCAAATAACTCGCTCTGGGGAGCGTAATGTACGAACCACAGGCGGGAGAAGGCGCCGAAGCACCCAACCTTTGGTTTCAGACTGGAAAACAATATGTTTGCCAAATGGGTTTGAGTTGTCGTGTTTCTCTGGGAGACTTACCAGTCCTGCCCTGAATTGATGCCTACAGACTTCAAGCTGCCCAATGGGCGATACGTGGTGTCCCAGCGCTGGACCCTTCTTGGTGGGAAGGACTGGCTACTTTTTGTGTTGCAAACCCTGCGCTTTCTCGGCGCCAGGAGAAATTGCGCCCGCAGGCGGAGGATTTCCTCCGGTATTCTCTGGAAGCCTTGAACAACAGCCAGCAGAGCAAGTTGGCAGGAAACACGCGGCGCCCCTCAGTTGTGCAACGCGGAACTTTTCTTTAATTGATTGATTCGTTGTTCAGTTCTTGTATCTGTGCGGCAGCAGCTTTGACTGTTGTGGCATGCCGAAAGCCTACTGTCTGGTCATCCCGCGATGCGCACAGAAAACAACCATTTATTCAGAGCCCGTAGAAGGCTCACCTGAAATGCGGGCACCATAGGCTGTTTAGCAAAAATAATCTGTCCAATTTGGCAAGTTGCGGTGAAGGAAAAAGCCTGCGACCCTTCCATGTTCTGTCCGCTTGTTGCAACACATACTTACTTTCCCACGTTCTGACATTGAATCTTGAGATTTGGTTCAAGGGCCCAGGAGAAACACCATGACCCCCAAGAATGTTGCGAGAAGCGGAGGAATTGCCTCCCAAGCGAAAGCTATCACAGCGGGGGGATGCCAGCAGGGCCGTTTGCAACAACCTGGATGATGCTTGCCCTTTGACCAGGGCCATGGAATCTTGCGTGGAAAGCGCGCATTCATTGAGGCATGCTTCTGGAACGTCTCTCCCACCTGATGCTCAGCCTTTGCCGGAATTGCCTTTGAACGCTGAGGGAACTCTGTACCTTTAGGGCCATGCCTTACGGGGGGACATTGAAAGACATAGCTCACCGCGCTTGGCTTGTTGATTCCAAAAATTCGACTTTTGGAAGGGTGCTGGGACATGGTAGCACCAGGTCTCTTAAATGACGGTTCCTCAGCAGCTACACTAAAAGAGTAGTTCTGCAGTCTAGAGGTGGCCCTTCCACTGTTTCGAATGGTTTTACACTCTTCGCCTGCCAGGCTTGGACCCCTCGGAGCCAGGCTCAACCTTTGAAAAGCTATATCTCGGTCACCCGCCTCCCGAACACCCAATTCCTCGGCGAAACTTGTGGGAGAGTAAAACCGAAGTTTGGCTGAGGACCTCGCAGAGGTCCTCGGCGAAACCCCACCCCACGGGGTGCCAGAAAGCACTTTCCTTAAAATAACAAAAATCTTGGATAACAACACGCGGCTTCTTGGGGGGGGTGGTGGGGGAGGGTTTGGCTGAGGACCTCGCAGAGGTCCTCGGCGAAACTCTGAAGCCAAGTGAATTGAGTTTCGCTGAGTTTTTGGGCTTCCGGCAAATTCTTTATGGTTTCGCTCTTGCTCAACTTGAACGATTATTCATCTCTAGCAAACTGGTATTTTTGTATTTTTGAAATATTTCCAGACCCTTCCTGAAAGCAGGCAGCGCAGAACCATTTAGCGTAGCTGCTGAGGAACCGTCATCTAAGAGACCTGGTGCTACCATGTCCCAGCACCCTTCCAAAAGTCGATCTGTGGAATCAGCAAGCCAAGCACGGTGAGCTATGTCTTTCAATGTCCCCTGTAAGGCATGGCCCTAAAGGTACAGAGTTCCCTCAGCGTTCAAAGGCAATTCCGGCAAAGACGTTCCAGAAGCATGCCTCAATGAATGCGCGCTTTCCACGCAAGATTCCATGGCCCTGGTCAAAGGGCAAGCATCATCCAGGTTGTTGCAAACGGCCCTGCTGGCATCCCCCCGCTGTGATAGCTTTCGCTTGGGAGGCAATTCCTCCGCTTCTCGCAACATTCTTGGGGGTCATGGTGTTTCTCCTGGGCCCTTGAACCAAATCTCAAGATTCAATGTCAGAACGTGGGACAGTAAGTAGGTGTTGCAACAAGCGGACAGAACATGGAAGGGTCGCAGGCGTTTTCCTTCACCGCAACTTGCCAAATTGGACAGATTATTTTTGCTAAACAGCCTATGGTGCCCGCATTTCAGGTGAGCCTTCTACGGGCTCTGAATAAATGGTTGTTTTCTGTGCGCATCGCGGGATGACCAGACAGTAGGCTTTCGGCATGCCACAACAGTCAAAGCTGCTGCCGCACAGATACAAGAACTGAACAACGAATCAATCAATTAAAGAAAAGTTCCGCGTTGCACAACTGAGGGGCGCCGCGTGTTTCCTGCCAACTTGCTCTGCTGGCTGTTGTTCAAGGCTTCCAGAGAATACCGGAGGAAATCCTCCGCCTGCGGGCGCAATTTCTCCTAGCGCCGAGAAAGCGCAGGGTTTGCAACACAAAAAGTAGCCAGTCCTTCCCACCAAGAAGGGTCCAGCGCTGGGACACCACGTGTCGCCCATTGGGCAGCTTGAAGTCTGTAGGCATCAATTCAGGGCAGGACAGGTAGGTCTCCCAGAGAAATACGACAACTCAAACCCATTTGGCAAACACATTGTTTTCCAGTCTGAAACCAAAGGTTGGGTGCTTCGGCGCCTTCTCCCGCCTGTGGTTCGTGCATCACGCTCCCCAGAGCGAGTTCTTTGGAGAGTACTGCTCCCCACCCGAAGCAGGGCCTGTAGCGCCGATACGCAAACAGGATTGTCGGGTTTGACGGCCGCCGTGTCTGGCACACGCGGGTGCCTCAGATTCTGATAGGCTGGAACGTTCAGGTTAAATATCAGAGGCAAGAAATAAGTCTGAATCGGCGCCATCTTCAGGCGCCATCAGGTACTGGGGTTGGCTTGCAGGGTGATGCTGCTGGTCGCAGTTGAACATTGCCCGCGCCACGGGCTCCTTAGTTTTAGGGCATCGTTTTTCACAAAAAGTAAGGTTTGGGGCACCTGCTTCCACCAAAAGGGCTATACCTATACCCGAAGCAAGGCAAACCGCAAGAACCCGTACTTGATGCCATCCAGCAAACAAACACCGCCGACAACTGACAGTCAGACTGCGTGCAGTTAAGAAACTTTGTCCTCTGAGTTGATCTTGCCCCATTCTTCACGTTTTTGGGTTACTTGGGCCTTCTGCCCTGTGAATTGCTGGAAGTAATCTTTCCGGTTATATACAGCGGCAGCTCACCAATGCTCACATGAGGCGAGGTATGGCTCTGGCTTTTTGCAAGATTTGAAACATATCTTGCTTCTGGCTCCCCATCCGAAGCGTAGAACATTTGCTTGATCAACAAAAGGCCGAGAAGGAGACAAGGACATTCCCGAGAAGGATTCGGCTTTTGCAGTTTGAGCCCAGCAGTTTGAGTCCTCGAAGCAAGTTTCTTCTTGGGCTTCGCGGCCGGCCGCTTTGTCGCCCTCATCGCCGACGCTGTCCGCTTCATACTGCCACTGCTGCTCTTCTGCTCTTGACTGACTGCTGCACTGCTGTTCCGCTATTCCTGCTGCCATCTCGGGCAAAGTAGTTTGGGTCCCTGACTGGCGTTGGCCTTCAAGTTGGCAGCACTGCAAGCCAAACAACCCAGAGCGTGAAACAACCAAGTCCCACGCAAGCTCATTTTACGTAGCTGTTCATCGGCAAAACGTGTTAGCAGCCTCCTGAGAAGGATCAGCACCGTCAGAAACCAGTCCAAATGATTTCCTGCCTCGGGTGACAAGGCGGGGCTCCGAGTTGTTTGTGCCAAGCCCACTGGGCCTCAGTGTGTGTTTGGATGGACACGGACACAGGAAGCGGTTGATCAATCGGAGCAGCTTAGGCCCTCCAAGTAAACAACGTGCAGAGGTTTAAGTCTGTCAAACCCAGCTACATGTAGCAAATCAGTCAAGTAGTTACCTTATGATGAAAGGTGAGGCAGTAAACCTGTACCTTAGTTGGCCCGGTAGGTCAACTACTTGGCTTGTGTAAACTGCCAGTTTGTGCATGCACTTACGTACCTTGCTGACGAATCGAGCAAAATGGACGCATTGACGGTCCAATTTTGGTCTATGTTAGTCCCCAAAATGTCACCTTTGTTTTGTTTAGGTCTTTGTGGCATGTGAAATCTCAACTTGCTGATTGCCTGACTTTATGGCAGTATCCTCAAGTCGATTGAGTAACTTGTCAACTTCTCAATACGTCCAATGCAGCAGGACACCACTTAGGCAGATGCGAATCAAACAGATTGCAAGGCAGCAGTAAACAGCCACTTGATGCTACATGGCAATTCGCCTTTCAGCTGCAGTGTTGTTGAGGCAGCTGTGCTTTCCCTGCAGACAAATGCTGCAATTCCTGCTTGTCCATAGGGATGAGCAACCACAAATAGGAGTCGCGCTGCCGTTGATTTTGCTTGAGAAGCATTAGTTGTGCTGGATCCACATTTGCTCTTGACGTGTTGTTGCATGGGGCGGTCAAGCCCAAGCTCAGACACACCAATGTGATCATTTCAGGGTTAAAGTTCTCAGTCATGTGCCCTTGGAACAGGTACCCTGAGATATTCTGTAGTGTTCTCTATTATGCTGCCGCTGGCAAACGCTGTCAGGTTGGTACCCCAGTTTATGGTTGTGGCATGTAGCCGAAAGCAGATGTAGTCACCGTCTTAGGCACACTCGACCCAAGCATTGTGCAAAGGGCTGTGTGGAGTTCGGCGTGAACCAGATGTGTGGTCTCGTCGTGTGAGATTCACGGATGACGCTTGTGTCGAGAGTGTGGTGTGCTTTGGCATTCGGCTACTTGGACGAAGAATGGTTTGATGTTACTTTCATGCAGGCTACATGCATCATGCATGTAGTTCTTTAGACTCTTTGTCCACAAATTTGCCTAGACGTTTAGACAGCAACTTTGCCACCCATGGCTTTCACTCCATCGATCACACACATAGAGATTTGGCGCCACCTGGCTTCCAGAAGTTGGGTCGATGAGTCGGTTCGCGTGTTTTGGCAGGACATCAATGTGACGCTGTCCCAACAAGTGATGCAGAACTACAACAAGTTCGTCACTGGCATGCAGATGGTTCAGTCCTGAGCCGGGAGTCCACCAAATGGCCCGAGAATAAGGGACGTGCCCTCCAAGGTGATGAGCGGATGGCCCATGTCATAGGTTGTATAAGAATAGACAGTCGGTAGACTGTAGACTTTGTCTTCGAAGTCCAGAAGGAAAAGGTCAACTCCCGAAGGGAAAGGTTGCCCTTCCCTGCTCGCGGCCATTTGAGGTGCAGTCTGTAGAGACAGAGCTCTCCCTCATCGGCCGGTGGCCCCAGTAACTTAGTTCATCTTTGAAGGCCGTTGCCGGGGAGAGTTTGGGAAACATGAATCGGATTTGGTGGGATCATGAAACTGCGCAGTGTGATGAGCTCTGGGGGTTAAATGAGCTCACCCATGATGAATGTCGGTTCATTATTTCCAGATCGAGAAGTGTATTGTCCTTGTAGGGGGGGAACAGTTGAAGGATTGGATGAAACGTAAATCAGCTACATGCGAGGCATGTTTTTGGAGATGGTTCCCCAACATCAATCGGTTTCGTTAATTTGCATGCTGGCAAGCCAGAACTGAGATTGAGCCACGCAAGTTGTGTGGCCTTTTTTAGGAATTCTCTTTCGTAGGTTGGCAACTTGACCCAGGGCCCTTGAATTGCCAAAAACCTCTGAAATTGCTTTGCCATGAACAGTGAATTTCAGCCATTGGGAGCTTGATGAAACCTTTTTGGGTTGCTTTGAGTACATACTCCATCCCATTGTTGTTTCGCTGTTTCAATCTTGCAACCCCCGATATGAGTGCATGTTTTTGTTGGCTTCTTTTCACCAAGGTGTAAAGGGTAGCATCAAAAACCACCCACTGGGCCTTGCCTTTCTGCAAGCGCGACCTGAGCCCTAGGTGTGCTGGTCAAGAATGGGCGCCGAAAGCTGCAGACGCACGACCAAGGCAGGGGGCGGGTCAGAGATCTGTTTTCACTGTTCAAAGCCAACCCAATGCGTCCAGTTGCCAACGCTAGCCAGGGAACCTATCAGGTAAAACAATTAGAGGCAGAAAGCCGAGGTTCCGTCCGTTTGGTAAAGTGCAAGCACAAGGGCAACCTTTTCATTTTTTGGATTCCAGCTTTGGCCCAGGTATCGAGAACTAAGCCTGAAAGGTTTGCAGGGTGTTGGGGAAAGCAAGTTAGTTTTGTGTTGTTGCAAGGACAGAGCGTATCAGCTTGTTCACCGCCTTTAAATCAAGTTACCCTTCAATGGTTGCACGTGTGGGTAAGGACCCCTTATACTGTAGGTCCTGTAGGTGCCGGTCACACTTGGTTACGTAACATTCAAGCGCCGCCTTTGTTAGACATAGTTTGCATTTGGTGTATGTCCATCAACCACGTCAGAGGAGGGACCCTATTCAGGTTCGCAGCCAAACGATGACAGCTGTGCTTTTCAACAGTGCTCAACCTCCTGAATATCATTGACAAGAGCTATGAGCAAGGAATTCAGGCCACTTGCCCACAAACAAAATCAAACAGCAGAACATGCGAGCCAGGAGCGGGAAGTTGTATGTCGTGACAGAAGCTTATGGGCCAGTGCCACTTGTACTTTGGAGCATCACTCCTGAGGCTGATTTCAAAAGCTGACGTGCTGGTTTACTTCCTGCTAAGACCATGTTGGTGGCAGACGACCAGTTTACACCCTTCCTTCCCAGCCAAGCGACTCAGGAAGTGAGGTGTCAATGCAGACTCCATAGTGACACTGCAGTCTTTAATGGTTGCCCAGTAGCATTGTAAAGCTGGAACTCTGCCGAAAGCTGGCAAAAGGGTGATTTTGAGATATGTTTCGGGTTGGGATTGAACTTGGCTTCCGGTTGGCTTTTGGCCTGTGTCCGGCTAAGGGGTGGTCTAAACACAGCTTTGTGGTTTGCGTAGCGTACAGCAACCAGCATTCAACTCCACACGTCATGTGAACTTGCGAACCTGATGCGGACGAACAAGCTGCTTGCTGCGGCGCCGTAATTTGGACAAGACTGTAATTGTTGCCGTGTGAAGAGGCCACTACCAGGATCGTAGATCTGCTTGCGATTGCTACGACCTATCATTGGTGACACAAGAAGAGTTGCTTGCTATTGAATTGCTCCTTGTGGACTTCCATGATTGGGGGCATTGCTCACAATTCAGGAGAGAGCTGCAGATTTTGAATGATTTTGTGGTCTTTTGTCCTACAAACTAAAGGGGGTTGGGGGTTGGGAGGGGGGTTCCCATTTTTTGAGGCACAGCCAGTAGCCGCCAACCGGAGTCTGCTTCTCTCGCAGGCATCACACGAGGCTCCATGCAGATCACGCCCGAGCCCAGATGAAAAATGAGCAGTCAGCTTTTGGGTGTTGGGTCTGTCAGGGGTTGGGTGACAGCTCCTTTTTCTCGCCTGCCCAAAGCGAATCGACCTTCGGACCTGTTCCCATGAGTGTAGTTCGCTCTTTTGGTCTAGTTCATTGTCATGGCACCAAAAGGTGACCTTTCATTTTTGAGTCCTTGGGGCAATTGTTCCACTCCAAATGAACACAGAGAAGAGCCTGGCCTCTTCCTTGGTGTCCGCACTCTTCAATATCCGCCGGAAGGGTCTACTATTCTCAGTATATGTTCGGACGTTGGAAAAGCCAGGAGGGGCGGTTTCCTGGAGTTGCTTCTAGCAAGTCCTGTTGGGAGTTCATGACACGTAGAGCGGGCCAAGCTGACATCAAGTCAGATGCCAGGTGCAAGAGGTTCACACTGGGCATTGCCTCATGAAAGTATGGTGCTTCTTGTCCAGAGAGTTGAGGCCTTATTGGGCAAACTTGTTTTTTCGGGCAAACTGCGGTTTTTGCAGCACCGGTGCAGTTCTACGCGACGCTTGAATCCGCACATGTCACCTCGAGTCCTCGTGCTGTGGCCGTCCTGAGGCGGCAGCACCTGCGGCGGCAGCGCCTGAAAGAGCTGCTGGCGATGCTGGAGGATTTGCAGGCGGTGAGAAATGCGATGCCCTGGGCCCATCGGCGCAAGGCGTAGCTCTTGTTTGTCTCAAAGCTCAGGTGGTAGTTTTTGTTTGTTTCTTCGTTCGTCTCAAAGCTAACGTTCGTCTTAGTCTCAAAGCGAACATGGGCCTGTCAAAGTAGGGGGATTCTGGGATGGACTTAACTGGAGACCAATGGGAAGCTAGTTACCAGGAATGGTCCCTACTCCCCAATGTTTATACCAAGAAATGTTCTGGTTTCAACCATGGTTTCAATTTGGTGCGGGATTTCGTGCATCCACATTATGGCTGGCGTCGTTGTGGTTTCCGTTTAAACACTCAAACGTGGATCATATATGCCATTCCGAAAAGCTCTTATATGCAATAATTTCATGGATGTTGAGAGTTGGAACTACCTAAGTGGGTGGTGAACCACTTTGCCACCACTGAATTGTGATGTCCATCCGGTTGATTTATGCCCAAACATGTTTTCATGGAAACCAAAAGGCGCTCGTGTTTTGAAGACAAATCGGCGTCAGAGGCTAATAGCTTTCTGCTATGTCCTCATTCTGTGGGCTATATGTTGTTTTATGTGTGTATGGCAAGTCGCACGGAATATTGACACATCAGCTAGGGATACAAATGGGATACTAGGCACAAGTATCGGTGAGTCAGATGGTTGGCCCAGCAATGTAGACCCAAAAACCACTGTAAAACGCCGCCCTACACCCGCGACCACCGTGGAAGTGGCGGTTCAGATGGACGCAATGATTTAGACTACAAGTGGACCTTACTGAGCAAGCACAGCCTGAGGGCCGAGCGAGACAGACCCAACTCCCTCGCCAGAGCATCGTCGAGATCGATGCGTGCCTCCGTGAGAGCATCGACGAGGGCAGATACGCAGAGGTGGGCTGTCCGATTGGGTGGTTGGGCGCGGTAACCCCCCCCCAACCCCCGAGTTTTTGCATAGCGGAAGAGCCTCGAACAGAGAATCTGCCAAGAATCGGTGTACGTGGTAGGTGTCCCTTGTTTCTGAGACGCAGTCTAAAGGTTGACCATGATGCTTGCCCATGGTTGGAGAACCGCACAGATCCCCGAGTCAGATTGGCAGTACAGCTTGAAGACTCCTGCACGGGCGCGTCGCGAATCATGGGACCCCAAGCAGTTGATTTTGCCATTGGCACTTTCCTGGTTAAACCTAGCATTTGCGGGCTGAAAAACTTCGAAGAAACACTTGAATGGCGTGTCTTTCTTGGTTGTACTCTCAAAGCTATCAATTTGGTTGTCAAAATAGGATAATTCCGTGATGGTACAGTGGATGGTTGCGAAATCCTACGCCACGCCTGTCAAGCCAATGGTTGAAACCCCGCAGTTTCTTGGTATTTCCGTTGGGGAATCGAACATCAGTCCGTTGGGGTTCTCCTCGGTGCCAGAAGCGGATTTCGTAGGCCATTGTGCAGCACTCGGTGCTGCATGACGCGCTGGCCAGGGCCTCTGAACTCATTTCTGGGTGTGTCTTGTTTTGGTTGGGAACCGTTTCTGCTTGGTTTCTCAAGGGAAACCGCGCCGAATTCCTGACTTGGTGGTCCCCAGCCGTCCGGTTCCTTATTTGTGTTTCTTTTTGGTTGGTTTTGTCTAGTAAAGAATCACTAAGCCAAGAAAAGTGGTCGACTTTTAGGGGGGGGATCGAAGGGGAACAGCCCAGCTTCGGCCAAAGCCAAGTTGCCACCGAGAGTTCTGAGGCCAGCACCCAGTACCGGCGCTTCCCGGGACTCGTAGAGCTGCAGCAGCGCCGGGACACCGAGCACCCCATCAATCCCTCCGAGAAAAAGGGGGCCAGTGGGCGTGGGTTTTGGAGGATGCCACGCTCTTCTCTGGGTTTCATTCGGAAGGAAAACAGTAGAAAGGCATCCCATGCGTGTTTCACAAGGAGCTTCATTATTATTTGTTTGCTGGTTGAATGGGGCTTATAGGGCTGCATTCTTTGTGGCCGTATTGGAACCAACAGCCAATAAGCTTCGGGCGCTGCGCAACTGGGCTCGGTTTTGGCAATCTTTCAATGGGCTCTTTATTCCCCCCTGGCTTGGGCGGCTGCTTTTGAGGACCACTCATCACTCATCCTTTTGTGCTACCAAGGACCCTTGAGGACGGATGCCTTTCACTTATGGAACCTTATATTATTATTATGTTCCTTGCTTTTGCTGAGTTTATAATTGGCTTTTTGCCTTTTGGGCTTATTGAAAGTCAGTGGCCTCTGCTGTTTGGGGGCCCGGCACCGTCTCTTCAACCCGCAACCGCCTCATATCACACCCACTTGGATTCCTCCAGATTTGCTCGCCCTTGATTGATTTGTGCGTGGTTGTGTCAGAACAGCAACAGAACATGAGGTGTCTTCTTGCTGTAAGGGATCATTTGGATGTGTGACCACGGAAAAAGGAGGTTCGTTTTGGGTGGTTGTAGATACCTTCGGTTGAAGGAAGAGATTGCCGGCGCTCCAACTAGGGCCTGGAACTTCCCCCGCCTTCCGCTTGCGTTGGAAAAGGGCTATGCGGCAGGGCTTACCATCATGACCCACCAGCTCGAACCCTCAACACCTTCCCCGTCGGAGCTGGGTAAGATGATGCCCGAACCTACGTACGCGCCCGTAGCAGAGTGTGAATGGGTTCCTCGTGTCGCCCTTTGTTTCCCCCACGTTTTTTCAGAGATGCGTTCACGCTTCCTTGCTGACGTTGACCTAGGCTCCACTTTGCACCTTCTCAATCTGGACAATTCCCAATATGGCTCCTTTTGTTGAGGGCCCCTTTTCGTTTGCGTTTTGTCTTTCAAAGGGGGTAACAAGTCATACCCGAGGCCCCTAACATGTTCTTTTGTCAGTATCACTTGGCGGAGATTTTGGTTTTAGACATTTGAGCTGCAGATCGGTTTTTAGTTTTACGTAAAACGTACCACTTGCGAACGGTTCGCGAATGGCTTGCGAACGGGTTTTGAGCGGGCGTTGAACGCTTTACGAACGGTATTCCCAACACCGAATCCTAGGCGTGGCCCATGACATGACGCACAAATAACGTAAACATGCACTGAATTACGCGCAAAAGAGACGCAACTTAATGTCAGCAACACAAAAAGTTCGGTCTGTTCAAGCCCCGAACGGCTTTTGTAGCACCAGTTTTGAGATTTCAACACCCAGAAGGCAAGATCATTCTCTCGAGAAACGGTCAATTTCAACAGATTTTGGGTGGCAAGAGGTATAAATCTTGGCAGCCGAACCCGTGTTTTTTGGTTTTACCGCCCAGGGACGCCGAATTCGAATTCGGAGGCATGGGGGACCACCTGGCGCTGGTGCAGCAGAAGCTCAGCGACGCCCTGCGCGCTGCCGCGGTGTCTGCGGACTTCCAGGCGGAGCTCTACGAGGACCGCCTGAAACGCGGTGGGGGTGCAGCTGGGGTGGGGAGGCCGGGGGAGGCCGGGGGGGGGAGGAGGGGAGGGGGGGAGGAAGGAAGGGCAGGGGGGGGAAGTTCATGTTGCATGTTGCCCGGCATCACCCTTTGGGGCCGTAAGTTAGCTTGCTTTCGGGAAGATGGGACGTGAGGGAAGCCCGTTTTAGAGGATGGGGGGGGCGAGATTGTTTTTTTGCAGAAACAGCGAGCTCACCGGCTTCAGTGAAACAGACGATTTGCTCACTAAGATTCTGCACTTGGGATTCGTGATTTCTAGTTAGTAAGTTGCCCAGGGTGTGGAAGAGTCATTCAGAGTGTATTTGTGTATTGTTCTTGTTTGGTATTTGTGTTCTTGTTTGGTATTTGTGTTTTGTTTAATTATGTGTGTGTGTGTCTTGAAAAAGGTGCCGCATAGCCCTACCAACAGGGCATGGTAGTTGTCCAATCTTTCCAATTTTTCCAGACCCCCTTGCAACTTAGTATATGCTGCCATGCCAGGAGATCTTGAAAGCCTACAGTCTCCTCACCGCTGATCATGCCTGGCACTTGGTGCACTGCATCGGGCCAACCGGCCAGTGCACCGCATGCCTCTAGATCTCCTGTAAGGTTTTTTTTTTTCCGCTCGCCCCTCCACCACTTTTCAGGGAGACGATAGAACATGAAATCACAAGAAAGCTACTATACAGAGCAACATATACCCCTGTTTTCACGGCTAGTGATTTGTGGGGTAGTTGAAACTTTCATGGAGCTCTGGGTTGCTGACTTGCCTCGAATCACCCGTTCATCACACACATGTTGTATGACAATATGCTTGTGTGTACGCACATGCATGAGCATCCGAGCATCTCAGTTTGTGCCTGTGAGTGGTGGTTGCGCAGCAAGCGCCCTTGCCGATGCCCCTTGTCCGCCCCAGAGCGATGGCCTGGGCGTTTGGTCCAACGCTTTGTTTGGAGTTGGTATCGTTTCTGGGAGTTTGGAAAACAAAAAGCACACCACCCACTTTGGGGTAATGCACCCCAGCATTCGCCCCCCAGCTTGAAATGCCATTGGTTGGATTCTGGTCGATATCTGGTGAACTTTAACATAATTCATGATGTCTAAAGAGGCCCCGTCAATGTTGCTGGGCCAACTGCATGGCTGGACAAACTCCACTTTGCACCAGTTGGGTGGCTTATCAACCGGTTAGGGTTTCATCCATCCCAACTGGTGCCTGACGAGTTTTGTTGTTCTCTTCAGACCCACGTTGCCCCCGAACGGTACGGCCTCCGTTTTGGCAAGGCGATCTCCGTGGGCAAGGAGCTACTGCGGCACATTAGTGAGCCAGGCGCTCAGATCGCGCATGCGGCATGCGGCTCAGAGCTGTTGGGCCAACGGTTGTTTGCTGATGTGTTCAGCTCAAGTTATCGGTGCCGCAAGGTTGAGGTGGTCCACGTCGAACCGGTGTTTGTCATGTCTTTCTCAGACTTCAGGTCTGCGCTATATGTCCAAGGGCCGGCAGCATGGATCGTTTGCAATCAGTAACCTTAGCATGTTCTGGGGTGCGGTGCTGATTTCAAGCCAGCTCAATTCCAGCTCAACGGCTGACTTGTTTTTGAAAAACGTGAGCCACAAGGCAATATGGATGTGGCTTATAGTAGGGGGATCCCCCCATTTGCGGTTTCCTTGCGGTTCTTTGAGCCAACCAGAAATGTACCCTCCAAACAAATGACGCATTCGTAATGACTTGTATTGAACATGGGCAGCCGGGACTGCCCGCAGCGCCAAAAATGCACTGTCGAAACATTTGCCATGGCCGCACTTGGTCGCGAAAGATCAGGCAGCATGCTCATGGCCCTTTACAGTGAAAGTTATATCAATTTTGGGACATCACTACCATCCGTGCTCGCGGGTGTGTGCGAACCACAGACTACGGGTGGATAGTCCCAACCCAAATCCCATTTGAACTTCAGAATTCTCGTATCTTTTGGGGGTGTCTCCCATGGTACTGTGGACAGCATCCTGCACCAGATGTAGTCTTTCAGAGACTTTCCACCCCAACTGGTGCCTGGCACAAAGTTTGTCCATCAGTAGGGGTGCTTCGCGCCTGAGGGTCATCGTGGCCGTCTCCCGGCAGTGCATGGCGGGGTGGGGAAGGAATCGATCTGATTCACAAATACATGGCGGCTCGTGAAAGAGAGTCAATTGCACTGGGCGGCACAAATGTTGCTTCCGACTGTTTCCGCGCAAATGGCGAGCGGAATTGGTCATGGATTATTGTCGAAACACGTGCTTATTGCACGACACAATCATCAAACATGGCAGAACATGATATGGATCTTGCTTCCCACTTGCAATAGTGCGGGGATCGATACGAGCAAACACAGATCTCTCGATGCGGCCTCAAGACTGAAAGATACGCGTGAAGGACCAATTCTGGATTGCCGCGACATGTCGTTGTGTGTGTGTGTGTGTGCGTTTGTTTGTTCAAGCAGGCCTTAGGCCAATGTCAGAACATGCCCGAAGGAATTCGACATATTCTGCCTGTCTTGCTCTATATGCACAGGTTGCTTGCTTTGGCAGGGAATTTGGTCCATCTTGGGTCGGTTCTCATCCTGGCTGAACTGAGTGCCGGCCCAGGTGGGTAACAGGAGGGATCAGCACTGTGGTAAGCCAGCTAGAGGATTCTGCTTCGGTGATTGTTTCTGAAGCTCGCGGTTGCGGGTTGCCAAGTTGCAGTATGCTTTCTTTCGTGTGCTTTGGTTCCAAGTGGTTGGCCCTGTGTTTGTACCCCAAGGGTGCCCCTCAAAGCCACTCTGGCTGGATCAACGGTGGTGAATCAAACATGCATCGGAAAGAGAGACAAGGCGCATACAACACCAACCGCTTGCCAAGCCCTCTTTGCTGCTTTCAACATTTGACGGTATGGCTCGCTGCGTCCAATTGGCACTGAGCCAATAAACTCCTGAGCCCAAAAGATGCGCAAAAGATGAAAGCTGGCAGCCTGCCAACTGGCAGGCATTCTGTTTCGGAGCACATTGCTCCGAACCTCAACGTCCAAGAAGGGTAGCACACTGGGTCCTTTGGTGCCCCGGGCGAGCGGGTCTTCTGAGTACCTCGAGTTCGCAACTCGATGCCAGCTCGCCTTCTCCACTGTGCCCCCGCACGAGTCGGCAGCGGCGCGGGGAAAGGGGGGGGTCTTGTGGGAGTTTTGAGGACTGACTTCCCCAGTTCTTTTGTGCGGAAGATCTTATTGTTGGTATGTGGTTGGATCTTTGGACTTTTACTGATTGGGACATCGTGGATTTTCCAATGGACCCACAAAAAGTTGATATTTTCGCAGAGGGGTCAACAGAAACCAAGTCTTTGCGGGTTTCTCATCCTGCTTTGCACTGGCGGGATTTTTGTTTGGGGACTTGGTCGCAAAGTGGCATCTTCCCGTTTAGGCTGCCATTTGGGGGTCCTTACAATGTTATGAATCGTATCCCCAGTGTTGTTTGGAGGGTCGGATGGAATCAACACGCAATGCGGTGAAGAATCGGAAGATTGGATTCTAGGGGGCCGTTCAAGGCTTGGATTGCATGGCAAGACTGTATGTTAAGAAGTGAACTAGATCCCTGGCTGTCAAGCGTCACTTGTCCTGTTGGCTGGTGCTTGCCGTTCATGGCCAAGCATGATGACTGTCACTTTCTTAGGACACCTTTGGAGAGTGTAAACTCAGTGAGAATATTGAAGTGACCGCCCCAGTCTGATCAGCTTGCTAGCCGAGTCGTACTGCCACACGTGATCTGGGTGCGAGCTCTGTGTTTGTGTGTCGGTGTGAGACTGCGTGGCTGATGTGAGCCTGATTTGCAGTCGTTTTGGATGGTTGTGTCTGCAGTTGGACCTTGATTTGATTTTTTCACTGGTGCTTCCCGTTCATGGCCAAGCATGATGACTGTCACTTTCTTAGGACACCTTTGGAGAGTGTGAACTCAGTGAGAATATTGAAGTGACCGCCCAGTCTGATCAGCTTGCTAGCCGAGTCGTACTGCCAAACTTGATTTGGGTGCGAGCTCTGTGTTTGCTTGTCGGTGTGAGACTGCGTGGCTGATATCTCGCTGATGTGCAGTCGTCTTAGATGGTTCTGTCTGCAGTTGGACCTTGCTTTGATTTTTTGACTGGTGCTTCCCGTTCATGGCCAAGCATGATGACTGTCACTTTCTTAGGACACCTTTGGAGAGTGTGAACTCAGTGAGAATATTGAAGTGACCGCCCCAGTCTGATCAGCTTGCTAGCCGAGTCGTACTGCCAAACTTGATTTGGGTGCAAGCTCCGTGTTTGTGTGTTGGTGTGAGACTGCGTGGCTGATATGTGGCTGATCTGCAGCCGGATTGGATGGTTGTGTCTGCAGTTGGACCTTGCCTGCGTTTTTGACTGGTGCTCGCCGTTATGGCCAAGCATGATGACTGTCACTTTCTTAGGACACCTTTGGAGAGTGTGAACTCAGTGAGAATATTGAAGTGACCGCCCCAGTCTGATCAGCTTGCTAGCCGAGTCGTACTGCCAAACGTGATCTGGGTGCGAGCTCTGTGTTTGTGTGTCAGGTATGAGACTGCGTGGCTGATATGTGGCTGATTTGCAGTCGTCTTAGATGGTTGTGTCTGCGGTTGGACCTTGCTTTTCTTTTTTGACTGGTGCTCGCCGTTCATGGCCAAGCATGATGACTGTCACTTTCTTAGGACACCTTTGGAGAGTGTGAACTCAGTGAGAATATTGAAGTGACCGCCCCAGTCTGATCAGCTTGCTAGCCGAGTCGTACTGCCAAACGTGATCTGGGTGCAAGCTCTGTGTTTGTGTGTCGGTGTGAGACTGCGTCGCTGATTTGCAGTCGTTTTAGATGGTTGTGTCTGCAGTTGGACCTTGCTTTGCTTTTTTGACTGGTGCTCGCCGTTCATGGTCAAGCATGATGACTGTCACTTTCTTAGGACACCTTTGGAGAGTGTGAATTCAGTGAGAACATTGAAGTGACCGCCCCAGTCTGATCAGCTTGCTAGCCGAGTCGTACTGCCAAACTTGATTTGGGTGCAAGCTCCGTGTTTGTGTGTCGGTGTGAGACTGCGTGGCTGATATGTGGCTGATTTGCAGTCGTTTTGGATGGTTGTGTTTGCAGTTGGACCTTGCTTTGCTTTTTTTGACTCGTGCTCGCCGTTCATGGCCAAGCATGATGACTGTCACTTTCTTAGGACACCTTTGGAGAGTGTGAACTCAGTGAGAATATTGAAGTTACCGCCCCAGTCTGATCAGCTTGCTAGCCGAGTCGTACTGCCAAACTTGATTTGGGTGCAAGCTCCGTGTTTGCGTGTCGGTGGGAGACTGCGTGGCAAATATGTGGCTGATGTGCAGTCGTTTTAGATGGTTTTGTTTGCAGTTGGACCTTGCTTTGCTTTTTTGACCGGTGCTCGCCATTCATGGCAAAGCCTGGCAAAGCATGATGTCTGTCACTTTCTTAGGACACCTTTGGAGAGTGTGAACTCAGTGAGAATATTGAAGTGACCGCCCCATTCTGATCAGCTTGCTAGCCGAGTCGTACTGCCAAACATGGGTGCAAGCTCTGTGTTGGTGTGTCGGTCTGAGACTGCGTGGCTTATATGTGGCGGATTTGCAGAAGTCTTAGATAGTTGTGTCTGCAGTTGGACCTTGCTTTTCTTTTTTCACTGGTGCTCGCCGTTCATGGCCAAGCATGATGACTGTCACTTTCTTAGGACACCTTTGGAGAGTGTGAACTCAGTGAGAATATTGAAGTGACCTCCCCAGTCTGATCAGCTTGCTAGTCGAGTCATACTGCCAACCTCGATCTGGGTGCAAGCTCTGTGTTGGTGTGTCGGTGTGAGACTGCGTGGCTTATATGTGGCGCATTTGCAGTCGTTTTAGATGGTTGTGTAGTTGGACCTTGTTTTGCTTTTTTGACTGGTGCTTCCCGTTCATGGCCAAGCATGATGACTGTCACTTTCTTAGGACACCTTTGGAGAGTGTGAATTCAGTGAGAATATTGAAGTGACCGCCCCAGTCTGATCAGCTTGCTAGCCGAGTCGTACTGCCAACCGTGATCTGGGTGCGAGCTCTGTGTTTGTGTGTCGGTGGGAGACTGCGTGGCTGATATCTCGCTGATGTGCAGTCGTCTTAGATGGTTGTGTTTGCAGTTGGACCTTGCTTGCTTTTTGACTGGTGCTTCCCGTTAATGGCCAAGCATGATGACTGTCACTTTCTTAGGACACCTTTGGAGAGTGTGAACTCAGTGAGAAATATCTAAGTGACCGCCCCAGTCTGATCAGCTTGCTAGCCGAGTCGTACTGCCAAACATGATCTGGGTGCAAGCTCTGTGTTGGTGTGTCGGTCTGAGACTGCGTGGCTTATATGTGGCGGATTTGCAGTCGTTTTAGATGGTTGCGTCTGCAGTTGGACCTTGCTTTGCCTTTTTGACTGGTGCTCGCCGTTCATGGCCAAGCATGATGACTGTCACTTTCTTAGGACACCTTTGGAGAGTGTGAACTCAGTGAGAATATTGAAGTGACCGCCCCAGTCTGATCAGCTTGCTAGCCGAGTCGTACCGCCAAACTTGATCTGGGTGCAAGCTCTGTGTTGGTGTGTCGGTGGGAGACTGCGTGGCTAATATGTTGCTGATGTGCAGTCGTCTTAGATGGTTGTGTCTGCAGTTGGACCTTGCCTGCGTTTTTGACTGGTGCTCGCCGTTCATGGCCAAGCAGAATGACTGTCACTTTCTTAGGACACCTTTGGAGAGTGTGAACTCAGTGAGAATATTGAAGTGATCGCCCCAGTCTGATCAGCTTGCTAGCCGAGTCGTACTGCCGAACTTGATTTGGGTGCAAGCTCTGTGTTTGTGTGTCGGTGGGAGACTGCGTGGCTAATATGTTGCTGATGTGCAGTCGTCTTAGATGGTTGTGTCTGCAGTTGGACCTTGCCTGCGTTTTTGACTGGTGCTCGCCGTTCATGGCCAAGCAGAATGACTGTCACTTTCTTAGGACACCTTTGGAGAGTGTGAACTCAGTGAGAATATTGAAGTGACCGCCCCAGTCTGATCAGCTTGCTAGCCGAGTCGTACTGCCAAACGTGATCTGGGTGCGAGCTCTATGTTTGTGTGTCAGGTATGAGACTGCGTGGCTGATATGTGGCTGATTTGCAGTCGTCTTAGATGGTTGTGTTTGCAGTTGGACCTTGCTTGTTTTTTTGACTGGTGCTTCCCGTTCATGGCCAAGCAGAATGACTGTCACTTTCTTAGGACATCTTTGGAGAGTGTGAACTCAGTGAGAATATTGAAGTGACCGACCGCCCCAGTCTGATGAGCTTGCTAGTCCAGTCGTACTGCCAACCTTGATCTGGGTGCGAGCTCTGTGTTTGCTTGTCGGTGTGAGACTGCGTGGCTGATATCTCGCTGATGTGCAGTGGTCTTAGATGGTTGTGTCTGCAGTTGGACCTTGCTTTGCCTTTTTGACTGGTGCTCGCCGTTCATGGCCAAGCATGATGACTGTCACTTTCTTAGGACACCTTTGGAGAGTGTGAACTCAGTGAGAATATTGAAGTGACCGCCCCAGTCTGATCAGCTTGCTAGCCGAGTCGTACTGCCAAACTTGATTTGGGTGCAAGCTCTGTGTTTGTGTGTTGGTGGGAGACTGCGTGGCTAATATGCTGCTGATGTGCAGTCGTCTTAGATGGTTGTGTCTGCAGCTGGATCTTGCTTTTCTTTTATGACTGGTGCTCGCCGTTATGGCCAAGCATGATGACTGTCACTTTCTTAGGACACCTTTGGAGAGTGTGAACTCAGTGAGAATATTGAAGTGACCGCCCCAGTCTGATCAGCTTGCTAGCCGAGTCGTACTGCCAAACTTGATTTGGGTGCAAGCTTCATGTTTGCGTGTCGGTGGGAGACTGCGTGGTTAATATGTGGCTGATGTGCAGTCGTTTTAGATGGTTGTGTCTGCAGTTGGACCTTGCTTTGCCTTTTTGACTGGTGTTCGCCGTTCATGGCCAAGCATGATGACTGTCACTTTCTTAGGACACCTTTGGAGAGTGTGAACTCAGTGAGAATATTGAAGTGATCGCCCCAGTCTGATCAGCTTGCTAGCCGAGTCGTACTGCCGAACTTGATTTGGGTGCAAGCTCTGTGTTTGTGTGTCGGTGGGAGACTGCGTGGCTAATATGTTGCTGATGTGCAGTCGTCTTAGATGGTTGTGTCTGCAGTTGGACCTTGCCTGCGTTTTTGACTGTTGCTCGCCGTTCATGGCCAAGCAGAATGACTGTCACTTTCTTAGGACATCTTTGGAGAGTGTGAACTCAGTGAGAATATTGAAGTGACCGCCCCAGTCTGATCAGCTTGATTGCCAAGCTGTACTGGCACACATGAGCTGGGTATGAGGTGTGTGTTGGTGTGTCGGTGGGAGACTGCGTGGCTAATATGTTGCTGATGTGCAGTCGTCTTAGATGGTTGTGTCTGCAGTTGGACCTTGCCTGCGTTTTTGACTGGTGCTCGCCGTTCTGGCCAAGCATGATGACTGTCACTTTCTTAGGACACCTTTGGAGAGTGTGAACTCAGTGAGAATATTGAAGTGACCGCCCCAGTCTGATCAGCTTGCTAGCCGAGTCGTACTGCCAAACGTGATCTGGGTGCGAGCTCTATGTTTGTGTGTCAGGTATGAGACTGCGTGGCTGATATGTGGCTGATTTGCAGTCGTCTTAGATGGTTGTGTCTGCAGTTGGACCTTGCTTGTTTTTTTGACTGGTGCTTCCCGTTCATGGCCAAGCATGATGACTGTCACTTTCTTAGGACACCTTTGGAGAGTGTGAACTCAGTGAGAATATTGAAGTGACCGCCCCAGTCTGATCAGCTTGCTAGCCGAGTCGTACTGCCAAACTTGATTTGGGTGCAAGCTCCGTGTTTGCGTGTCGGTGGGAGACTGCGTGGCTAATATGTTGCTGATGTGCAGTGGTCTTAGATGGTTGTGTCTGCAGTTGGACCTTGCCTGCGTTTTTGACTGGTGCTCGCCGTTCATGGCCAAGCAGAATGACTGTCACTTTCTTAGGACATCTTTGGAGAGTGTGAACTCAGTGAGAATATTGAAGTGACCGCCCCAGTCTGATCAGCTTGATTGCCAAGCTGTACTGGCACACATGAGCTGGGTATGAGCTGTGTGTTGGTGGCTAATATGTTGCTGATGTGCAGTCGTCTTAGATGGTTGTGTCTGCAGTTGGACCTTGCCTGCGTTTTTGACTGGTGCTCGCCGTTATGGCCAAGCATGATGACTGTCACTTTCTTAGGACACCTTTGGAGAGTGTGAACTCAGTGAGAATATTGAAGTGACCGCCCCAGTCTGATCAGCTTGCTAGCCGAGTCGTACTGCCAAACGTGATCTGGGTGCGAGCTCTGTGTTTGTGTGTCAGGTATGAGACTGCGTGGCTGATATGTGGCTGAATTGCAGTCGTCTTAGATGGTTGTGTCTGCAGTTGGACCTTTCTTGCTTTTTTGACTGGTGCTTCCCGTTCATGGCCAAGCATGATGACTGTCACTTTCTTAGGACACCTTTGGAGAGTGTGAACTCAGTGAGAAATATTGAAGTGACCGCCCAGTCTGATCAGCTTGCTAGCCGAGTCGTACTGCCAAACTTGGTCTGGGTGCAAGCTCTGTGTTTGTGTGTCGGTGGGAGACTGCGCGGTTACTATGTGGCTGATGTGCAGTCGTTTTAGATGGTTGTGTCTGCAGTTGGACCTTGCTTTGCCTTTTTGACTGGTGTTCGCCGTTCATGGCCAAGCATGATGACTGTCACTTTCTTAGGACACCTTTGGAGAGTGTGAACTCAGTGAGAGTATTGAAGTGACCGCCCCAGTCTGATCAGCTTGCTAGCCGAGTCGTACTGCCAAACTTGATTTGGGTGCAAGCTCCGTGTTTGCGTGTCGGTGGGAGACTGCGTGGCAAATATGTGGCTGATGTGCAGTCGTTTTAGATGGTTTTGTTTGCAGTTGGACCTTGCTTTGCTTTTTTGACCGGTGCTCGCCATTCATGGCAAAGCCTGGCAAAGCATGATGTCTGTCACTTTCTTAGGACACCTTTGGAGAGTGTGAACTCAGTGAGAATATTGAAGTGACCGCCCCAGTCTGATCAGCTTGCTAGCCGAGTCGTACTGCCAAACATGATCTGGGTGCAAGCTCTGTGTTGGTGTGTCGGTCTGAGACTGCGTGGCTTATATGTGGCGGATTTGCAGAAGTCTTAGATAGTTGTGTCTGCAGTTGGACCTTGCTTTTCTTTTTTGACTGGTGCTCGCCGTTCATGGCCAAGCATGATGACTGTCACTTTCTTAGGACACCTTTGGAGAGTGTGAACTCAGTGAGAATATTGAAGTGACCTCCCCAGTCTGATCAGCTTGCTAGTCGAGTCATACTGCCAACCTCGATCTGGGTGCAAGCTCTGTGTTGGTGTGTCGGTGTGAGACTGCGTGGCTTATATGTGGCGCATTTGCAGTCGTTTTAGATGGTTGTGTAGTTGGACCTTGTTTTGCTTTTTTGACTGGTGCTTCCCGTTCATGGCCAAGCATGATGACTGTCACTTTCTTAGGACACCTTTGGAGAGTGTGAACTCAGTGAGAATATTGAAGTGACCGCCCCAGTCTGATCAGCTTGCTAGCCGAGTCGTACTGCCAACCGTGATCTGGGTGCGAGCTCTGTGTTTGTGTGTCGAAAAAGACTGCGTGGCTGATATCTCGCTGATGTGCAGTCGTCTTAGATGGTTGTGTTTGCAGTTGGACCTTGCTTGCTTTTTTGACTGGTGCTTCCCGTTAATGGCCAAGCGTGATGACTGTCACTTTCTTAGGACATCTTTGGAGAGTGTGAACTCAGTGAGAATATTGAAGTGACCGCCCCAGTCTGATGAGCTTGCTAGTCCAGTCGTACTGCCAACCTTGATCTGGGTGCGAGCTCTGTGTTTGCTTGTCGGTGTGAGACTGCGTGGCTGATATCTCGCTGATGTGCAGTCGTCTTAGATGGTTGTGTCTGCAGTTGGACCTTGCTTTGCCTTTTTGACTGGTGCTCGCCGTTCATGGCCAAGCATGATGACTGTCACTTTCTTAGGACACCTTTGGAGAGTGTGAACTCAGTGAGAATATTGAAGTGACCGCCCCAGTCTGATCAGCTTGCTAGCCGAGTCGTACTGCCAAACTTGATTTGGGTGCAAGCTCTGTGTTTGTGTGTCGGTGGGAGACTGCGTGGCTAATATGCTGCTGATGTGCAGTCGTCTTAGATGGTTGTGTCTGCAGCTGGATCTTGCTTTTCTTTTATGACTGGTGCTCGCCGTTCGTTGCTAAGCATGATGACTGTCACTTTCTTAGGACACCTTTGGAGAGTGTGAACTCAGTGAGAATATTGAAGTGACCGCCCCAGTCTGATCAGCTTGCTAGCCGAGTCGTACTGCCAAACTTGATTTGGGTGCAAGCTCTGTGTTTGTGTGTCGGTGGGAGACTGCGTGGCTAATATGTGGCTGATGTGCAGTCGTCTTAGATGGTTGTGTCTGCAGTTGGACCTTGCTTTGCCTTTTTGACTGGTGCTCGCCGTTCATGGCCAAGCATGATGACTGTCACTTTCTTAGGACACCTTTGGAGAGTGTGAACTCAGTGAGAATATTGAAGTGACCGCCCCAGTCTGATCAGCTTGCTAGCCGAGTCGTACTGTTGATTTGGGTGCAAGCTCTGTGTTTGTGTGTCGGTGGGAGACTGCGTGGCTAATATGTTGCTGATGTGCAGTCGTCTTAGATGGTTGTGTCTGCAGTTGGACCTTGCCTGCTTTTTGACTGGTGCTCGCCGTTCATGGCCAAGCAGAATGACTGTCACTTTCTTAGGACACCTTTGGAGAGTGTGAACTCAGTGAGAATATTGAAGTGACCGCCCCAGTCTGATCAGCTTGGCCGAGTCAGTGCCAAACTGCCAAAGCTTGTAGGTGTGTCGTCTGAGACTGCGTTTAATATGTCTGATGTGCAGTCCTTAGATGGTTGTGTCTGCAGTTGGACCTTGCCTGCGTTTTTGACTGGTGCTCGCCGTTCATGGCCAAGCAGAATGACTGTCACTTTCTTAGGACACCTTTGGAGAGTGTGAACTCAGTGAGAATATTGAAGTGATCGCCCCAGTCTGATCAGCTTGCTAGCCGAGTCGTACTGCCGAACTTGATTTGGGTGCAAGCTCTGTGTTTGTGTGTCGGTGGGAGACTGCGTGGCTAATATGTTGCTGATGTGCAGTCGTCTTAGATGGTTGTGTCTGCAGTTGGACCTTGCCTGCGTTTTTGACTGGTGCTCGCCGTTCATGGCCAAGCAGAATGACTGTCACTTTCTTAGGACATCTTTGGAGAGTGTGAACTCAGTGAGAATATTGAAGTGACCGCCCCAGTCTGATCAGCTTGATTGCCAAGCTGTACTGGCACACATGAGCTGGGTATGAGCTGTGTGTGTGTGTGTATGTGTGTGTGTGTGTGGGTGTGAGACTGCGTAGTTTGTTTGGGGTGATCTAGTTGTTGATGTCTGAACTTGGACTTTGCTCTGATTGTTTTTGCTGGTGCCGGCCATGCATGACCAAGCATGCTGACTGTCAGTTTCTTAGGACACCTTTGGAGAGTGTGAACTCTGTGAGGATATTAAAGTTCAGAATCCAAACTATATGTAAATAGTTGTTTTTCGTGTTCGGGGCGGTGGAGGTAGCAAGCAGAAGGGGTGGAACAACTCGAGTCGCAACTGGGCGCGTTATGAAGGATTGGCATCGCCGAGCACAGCTACGGGATCTCTGCAAGAGCATGGCGGGGGCGCGAAGGGGCGAAGGGGCGAAGGGGCGAAGGGGCGAAGGGGCGAAGGGGCGAAGGGGCGAAGCGAGGGCGTTCTTTGGTGGGTGCTAAACAGCCCGTAAGGGTTTTTTCTCAACATGGGGTTCCCGAATTAATTGCTGTCTTTTTTGCGTTCCCTATATTTCCCTTTAAGCACCCACCAAAGAGGGTCCGAAGGTGCACCTGAAAAAGGCGGGGCCCCGCCACCGACGGGCCAACCTCAATGGAGCCCTGGTACCGTTTGTGTTTAAGCACCTGTTGTTTAACAACTTGGTTGGTATCCGCCATCCCCTTGAACCTTTATGTTTTTTGGGTTTAGTGGGGCTTTCCATTTAACCCACTAGAAGCTAAGCTTGCAGCAGGAGATTTGAGCCCAACTTGCTTTTGCCTCCCTGCACAAACCGAGGTTTGAACAAGTCTTGCCCAACCCTTCCGACCCCAAAATGGTTGCTTTCCGCAGCGCTTCCAGTCAAAGTGAACCAAACAAAGGGGGAGTCCTCCAAACGCAGGACATCGTTTCCTTGTTTTGCGGATACCCTTTTGTTGAGGTTGTGCGCACGGAAAACCAAGGGGAAAGCGGGTCCCCCATGTCAAGTGTCAAAGCGTGTCAACGAATGGGGAAGGTGGGATGGCGAGTTACATGGCTGTTGTTTCCTGAGTGCGCACTCAGCAAACATCAACAATCGGCTCTTGTAGGCTGGTGTAGGAGGCAGCATTCTGGAGTGAGTAGAGGGTTGAACACCATAGCAATACAAAAGCGATCACCCCTCATCAATCGTTGCATCTACCATGAACAGCCCCCACACAGAAGTGTCCCAGCGATCACCTGCCAGGAACACAGCATCAAGGAATCCTATTTGTTTCCAGGGAAACCAGGATAGGCCGCTCTTAATATCCCCCATGCATCAATTAAGATCAGGTGCCGGTATGATGTTGTTGGGTCTATTTCCAGTGGCAAAAAAAAGATCACCCTGCAACGTGAGTTCTTCTTGAAGTACGGAGAAACGTGGCTCCTGGTTTGTCGGGCACCGATTCAGAATCGGACGTGGTGGGCTCCATGGCCCACGGAGTGGGAAAGCGGGGATTGCGTTGGTTTCTCGTATGGATGGTGTCAAAATCGGGTGGTTTTTTTGTCTGGTTTCCTTGGAACCAACCTGAAATGCTTACCTTGAACACGAAACTCTCATGCGCACACACACACACGCCTCCATAAAGTGTTGAGGCACCTCGGCTGGGGGGCCAGATCCTGATCTTGAGGACCCGGGGAACCTGGTGCCGTGCATTGCGCAGCTCTATGAGCACCTCTGCAATTTCCTGTGCGCCATAGGAGACACGACGCGCGGAATGCCGTAGATCTTTGACCTGGGTTGGATCTTGATGCTGTCGAGTTGGCTGTGTTGGGTTGCGGAAATGGTTGGCGATGATGCTGGGCTGGCTGCGTTGGGTTCTTGCGGATTGTTTTGGGCGATTTGTTTTCCCTCGCAGAAAAAGAGACTCTTTGGGGAAGCAATAGCCATGAAGAGAAGGAAGTGGAGGAGGTGAGTAAGAACCAGACCAATGGACTCCATACCAAACAATTGGACAAAGCTCATTTTGGCCCATGGCCCAAAAGGGTACAAGAACAAGTAGTTGGTCTAAATATGTTGAAGCTCCTTCGACAAAAACGCCAAAAGCAGATGGTGTAAGTGGCAGCATTGCGAACAACCCGGGTGCTTGCCTCTCTGACGCCTTGGGCATGTTCCACTGCGACCTCACAATGGCTTTGATGACACGACTACCTTTGTGTTTCCTTTTGCTGAGAGTTGTTGTGTATTGGATATGGAAACTGGGGACTTGCAATTGTGGTAGTGACAAACGTCCCCGGGTTCGGGGTCTCACCCGCACAAAACTAACCTAGTTGCTTGGATACAGTGCCACCAGCTTGAATGAGATACTAGTTGAATAGGTTGGCTCACGTGCGCCTAACTCGAAGTCTTGACAAGACTGGCTTGTTTGCGTGACTGACCGCCATCTCGCCTTTGTGAGTTGTTTGGCAGTGTGACTTGGGACAAATCGCAGGTACAGACATCAGTTCCTTTGTGCTTGGCACCTCTGCCGAAGTGAGGCGGGAACTTGCAGCCACGAAGAAACCAAGATCATGGGAACCAGCAAATCCTTTCTGGCTATTGATAAACCTTTCCCGAAAAAAGAAAGAAAGAAACAAAGCAGCCGACCCCCAAAATTGCCTATGCTTATTTTAACTTGCCCCAATACGAAATCAAAACTAAACTCTTCCGAACCCAGATCCACTCAGCGAAGCTTATTAGGGCTCACCAAAAGGGTTGCCTTGCGTGACAAGGCTTTTATTACAGGGTCTCCATTGGGTTCCCTTGAGAAGGTTTCGTGTTGCACAAAAACAAGGGTGCCTTCCCTTTAACATGTCTGCAAATCAAAGGGCCCCCCTTACCTATTTGATGCAAGTACTAACGCAGTCTGAAACAGTTCTGGCCCAAAACCCAAGCGTTATCATTGGGGGGGACGAATTATTAGGGAGAAAGGATGACCGAAACTACAGGAAGTGAGCCAAATACCCGCCGAAACCGTGTGTCTTGCGTAACTAACTTCCTACGGAACTTCACCGTCTTGGCATTTGTTGGCACCGCCAGGCCGCAGAGGCTGAGAACGCCCCGAACCAGGCTTGCTTTCGAGAGGCGTGGTTGCAGGGGCAGTCAACGGCGGTTAACGGATCCGGCGCCGATCGGATGCAGAAGCGATCGGGCCCCAGGACATGAGTTGAACGAGAGGGGCCTCGAATCTGAAGGAGGATTCCACAGGTCGGCCATATTCGTTAAGATCAGCGCGGCATCATTTAGAGGACCGCACCTAGTTAGAGGCATCCTAAGATGGATTGACTTCCCCACTAAATGGACTAAATGGGGGCAGGGTTGATTAATTTGGAACACTTCATTCTTCCAAAGTAAATCAGGATTGCTTTGAGTCTCTAAGAGGTGATCAACAAACAAGGGTGACACAATACGCTTTGCTTGCTTTGGATCTCCAGAACCAGGCGTCAATGTTCCACCCTTCTGGAGTCCTTGTAGCGGAGTTTTCGGGAAACATGACGCTTGTGCAGCTTGTGAAGCACGTGCACACCGAGCTGATCAACAGCAAGCGAAACGTCTGGCACGGCCTTCAGCAGCAGGCGGGCCGCGGGCCCGCGGGTTCTGGTTCCGCCTCCGAGAGCCGGTGACTCGTTGGGATGGGCAACTTTCATTTTCCGAAGAATGATATGGGTGTGAGTCGGCTTGAAATTGGGAGCCCTTCGGTGGACATGACTCACGTGGGAATGTACGGCCAGCTTCAGAGTAGGAGGTTCTCGATTTTAGACCATAGCCAGCTGGACACACGGGATTTCGGAGTGGATCCCGTAAACCAACCCACTTGAAGATGGCCGTTTATTGGAACAAGCTGCCTGCACCATGAACTATGCACTACAAGGGCGGGGGGGGGGGGAGGCCGGGGCAACATGTGCAAGCGGCATGTGACATCAAGATCCGGACAGGATGCAGCAGTGCCCAACAACTTCTGGGAAAATCGCCTTTGTGCGGAAGCCATTGTGCGTCGCGTTCGTGAAGCAATACCCAAAGGCCGGAAGACGGGCCCTCCTTTCGACACCTCCAAGACCGCTTCAGAGTCGTGAAAGACATTTTTGGGGCCTTCAGTGGCTGAATAGGCATTGGTTCCCCCAGAAATGAACAATTCTCTCAACAAATGGGACCCCTCCATGGTTCAGCCAGGGGTTTGTGGATGGGTTCCCTTTGAAAAGACGCGACTGAAACGGGGTGGCCTTTCTTCCACCAGGCATGGCCCTGGTTCAGTGCCGCGGGATGTTCTGGTTGTCCCCTTGTTCAGGAAGCAAACACTTCCTGAGTTCATGAACTTTAAACTTTTTGGGAAGACCATTTTGGTGGTAAATTTAAAGTTTAGACTTTTTTTGGGCCATCCACTCAGGCAGTGAGACTGGGGGTCTCAGATATCTTATGGTAGACCGGATGAAAAATAAGCTGTATGTACCCTGCGGTTTGGCCAAGCAAAGTGGGTTTCCTCATTCCCATCCCCCGACTTCCCCCAAAAGCCCGCCAAGCGTCAGGTGTCCCTGGTGCTGCTAACGCTGGACTTCCAGCCACAATCTCAGCAAGGTTTGGGGAAATGTTGCAAAGCTATCCAGAAACCTGCCTGGTTTCCTGTGTTGCGGCAGGTCCAGAATTACTTGTATATTTTTTGGAAATCCCCTGTCTCTTCAGTGAAGCTTTCTGATTCAGGTCTGTGTACTGACATTTGCGTGTCAATATAATACACATTTGGCCCAAGTCGTTGCTGCCATTGGATCCGCCGTGCCTTTTGTGACTTGCATTTCAGCATCACTTGATACAGCGTGCTTGCTAATGGCGGTCGCCTTTTGCTTGATTTCGGACTTTCAAGTTCTTTCAGTGTACGCATGGTGTTCTCCCGTCAGGTTCTGCATCAGTCGAACCATCCCCCAAGTATTGCTTTGCGAGCAGGGGTCACGGATTCATGCGGCGTTTGCTTCTCATTTCGTTTCATTTCGTTTACACTTGAAGTATGGAAGCGGCAGGGCACCCCAGTTATGGCGGGGATGGGTCTCTGAAAATTTGTTGTTCAACTCGTTTCCCGAAGAGCAACTGCGCAACCAGAAAAAGTGCCCTAGCAGGCCGCGTAGAAACGTGTGGCAGGTTTCACGAGTAGGGGAAGCTGCCCTTGTTTGTTCAGTCACGTGAAGATTGCTCGCCTCGCCGTTTCAGAATGGGGGGGCGGATCTTTCTTCCCATAGCCCCCAAATTACCATGGGTAACGATTCCTGAACGCCGTGTTTTGTTGGGTTTCCACAATGATCATCCTACTTTCAGGACCTGCCGACCAACTCCCAGTCCGTACTGTGGACAGACAAAATCCTGCACCACTTTGAAACCAAGAGAGACCATTGTTCGTTGGTATTTGCAAGGGAATCGGCATTCCAAGGTTTCTTAGGTTGTGCGAAATGGATTTCGCCCATCCGGAGTAGTTCGGGTCACCCGCCCGCTTCCTGGCCCTGGGGCCGAGGCGAATTTGCACGGCAGGTTTCCAAGCACCAACCTGTTTTGGTAAGGCCTTCCAAACGGGTACGAATTGGGGGGCCTTTTTCTGGATATTCTGTAAATAGGGATGTATGTGTATTTCGATCAAAAAGCCCTAGTCTAAACAAAAAGAACAAGTAAAGCAATTCCTGCTGCATGGTGCGTGTTAATTGCAGGAAAGTATGCGTGGCAGCGCTAGCACGGCGCTAGCTTCGCGCTAGCTTTTGAGATGCTGTACACAAAGTGGATCCGGCCCAGGACCCTTGCAAGGCGTCGTATTGCATGCCGTGAAGAGAGATATTATTGTTATGTGCAACTGTTCTTGGTCATACCATACCATGTTTGCTTTAGAAGGCGGTTTGGTGGCAGAATTTCAGTGGCAGTTTTGTCCAGACAGTTCTGCGCAGATTTCGCGCAAGCGCGCAAGCAACACGCCAGCAGCGCGCAAGCAAAGGTTGCCACGGCCACCCCTTGGCGTGGATGCTCCAACGTGCATGTTTAATGGAGACACCGCGTCAGGCGACAGTCATAGCATCAGCCGTCGCAGCAGCCGCAGCGAGATCGAGTGGCTCCGAAGCCGCATGAGCACTAGCGACTTGCCGCACAAAACGCGCGCCGAAGCTCGTTGCGTCCAGAAACGAGAGCTGCAGAGCTCAGCTTGCCACAAATCTTCCGAACGAGGCGGGCCCCCATGGAAATCAGAATTAAGGCCCCGTTTGGGAACAAACATTTCGCTAAACCAGCAAGCATTTGCGAAGGTTTTGCATTCAAACCCATACCCAAACAAATCTTTGCCCTCCTGTTAAACTCAAACGTTGACGTTGACTCAAACATGTACAGCTCCTTGTCTAATCTCTTCATTCAACCAAGTAAGAATAATCGGCGTCACGTTTCTCAGAGGGTTCCGCACTAAAGATTGTCGGCAACTGGGACTCGTCACAATGGTGCAACACATGTTGCCACTAGTACCTGCTAAAGCCGAAGCTGAGGCAATTGTGCACTTGGAGGAAAAAGCTCCCACGTAGTATAATGTTGACCCCTGATGAAACCCCCTCCCTCCCCCGGTCGACAATGTCGGGAGTCCCTCTTCCCTTCTTAACCCAATCAACTCCGGTCCTCTCCGGTCCTCCAGGCAGCAAGGCAGCAATAGGAAAGTGAAAGGAAACTGCGTGGTTCCAAAATCAGGGCCAGAACATGATTGTTGTTGGTTGTTGTTGGGACACATTTTACATTTTTGCT